GGTTCAAAGCCAACCGCCTGCCTGGCCATCTGCAATAGTTCTAACCAGAGGCTGTTATTCTTGAAAATCCTCACCCTCAATTCTCTCTGGCTCTCATTCAAATTCAAATTTGAACAGGGTGTCCTGGTGCCAGTTTTTATCAACCAGAGACTCCAGTGTCTCTGCCAACACCATCCCCACTTCTAGCATCTTCAAATTGCTATCAAGATGTAACTTGCTCCAAAGAGGGGGATCAGTAGAAGAAGGCAGAGAGTTTGTGGTTATTTTATCATCTCAGGATTTAAGGGGGCTGAAATTTCTAAAGACCAACAATTGGCATGCTGTCTCTAGGAATGAGTGATTTATTAGCAGTTAGGCAGGCACGTGCTTTTATTTTGTCCTTCATACATTTTATCATCATTTTTAATCACCCAGAAAAATTGGTGTAGGCTATAGAGCAAGATAAGGCTTTCTTAGTTTTTCCCTGCCATCCCTACCCCTACCCTTGGCAAGATTAGACCCAACCTAAATGCCTCCCCCAGCTGTTTATTTAGACAAAGTGCAGCAAAAATAGCCAATTATTAACAATTCACTCCTTTAGCTCCCCCCCAAAACCTCTTCTTTGGTAGGTTATTTTAAATGTGGGCACTGGTTGTTTCCACATGCTGTTTGAGTAACTCCAAGGTGGTCAACACAAGAGTTGATAGTCCAAGGTCTTGCCATTCCCACATCTGACTGTGTTGGAATTGGTATTGCTGTTCAACAAAGAAGCCCTGCTTTATTTTTCTTAAGTTTCCACTTTCAAACAGTAGGCATTTAGGAAGAACAGAATGTGTGAATGGCATCTGTGTCAAAATCTACTGGCCACAACTGTCCCACAGAAAATCTAAAAACACAGAAGCATAGAGCATAGACCATACTGCAAAAGGACACGCCATAGCGCTTATTCAAGCACTTAATTCTTAAAAATACAGGAAGTGTCTTCTCTATAAATTCACTTATCTTTTCTAGGAGCCTTACCTAAACCTTCTTTAGCTTTTAGTAAAGAACCAATAAAACAGTCACTTCTTCCTAGGACTAAAAGCCACATAGTACCTAAAAATAAGTTTCCAGGTTCTTGATTCAAGGTAAATCAAGTGCAATATAATAGGTCAGCACCAGGATTTTAATGACAATTGCCTTTTGCCTACTAGTAGCACATTTATTAGGTTGATACTTAGGCACTTATGTCACATAGTTATTTGTGGTTAAATTGCATTATTATGTGAGTTTATGTTTATGTAATAGAAGAGCCATTAATAATATGCACATTAATTAAACCCAATAGATGTGTGGAACTTAGCATAGACACTAGGGTCTCTTCGTCAAGCTGAGTTATTCAATTCTGTTTTGCCATATATTGAAGACATCAGTTGCTTTGGAGAAGGTCTTTTCATTTATTTTGGCTTCATGAAACACAGTAAGGCATGTTGTCAGCCATTGAATGCATTTTTTAAATGGAACACCTTCCCACCCAGCAAGTGTGTTGGATGACTGTAATGAAAACTGAGAAATACCCAAAGGGCTTAAGATCATTAGCTGTAGCAGAGGTGCTGTCATTTTTGAGGTACATTACCCACACTGAATACCAGGATACCCTGGGTTCAACGAGGAGTCAAAAACATGATAACACAAGGAGTCAGTTACATAAATGAATACATCCAGCTAGGTTAAGAACAGGATCGATAGGATTGATGGCAAACCCGATAAACCACCCAAGAGCATTCGGCTCTATCCAATTGTCGTGAGGGGATACAGACTCAATATCTTGGTTTTCGTTTTGTTTTCAAAAGAAGTCAGAAGTCTGGAACACTATCCAAAATCTTGACTTTGGATTTTGATGATATTCAGCTTGAGGGCTGCCAGTCTGTGACTTCTGCCCTAGATAGATGAAGTCTGGATTTACTTCCCCTGCTCAAACAGGGGCTCCTGGAGAGCTACTATTTTGTCTTCCTCATCCTTTTATCCCTGAAAGAACTGAACGATGTTCTATACACATGGTTTGGGGAACTTGCCAGACATCAGGTAGCATGTTTAGCAGTTTACATTCATCCTTCCTCTCTAACTTTCACAGCAACCCTAGCAGGTAGTTACTGCTGTTTTCACCATTTGGCAGATGAGTGGGCTGAGAATTAAAGAGATGAGGTAGCATGCCCCGGTTCACACAACTAGAGAGTCGCAGGCTCAAACCTCAAACCCGGTACTTTAAATTTTTGTTTCCTAACCTCTAGCTAAATGTTCCTCCTAGATGTTCCCATACTACTCTGTATATACCTCAATGGGAGCATTTACCACTGTGCATTGTAATTGTCTTTTCCTTCTATCTCCTGAACCTCCTTGAAAACTAGGACTGTTGGATAGATACATGAGCAAATATAATCAGTGTTGCAGTGGAAATATGCAACAGTAACAAGAACGTCTTCCAACACTGAGAATGCTTTATAGTTTTTGTTTTTGTTGCTATCAATAATTTGATTTATTTGCAGGGAAATGGTGTGTTGTTTTTATAGTAGGGCAGGGTGAGTAGAGAATTAAGTATTCTTTCATCATTCTTTTACTCTTCTTTCACCATTTCCCCCAGGAAGCTCTAGGCTTTCTCTTTAGGAGAAATGGAAAGAGAACTTGACCTCTGTTGCAATTAACTAGAAACTCACCATTCATTTGATTTGGAACATACTACATAGCAGCCAAGTCTGTGTTTCCATTCCCCCTGGGCACCCGACCAGGATATTGTCAGCACACAGGCAACCACAGGAATTCTGCCCACACATAACACAGATGGACAAGGAAGGGCCACACAAGTTGGAGTAGGCAAGAAAATTAGCTCAGGGTGAATAGACAGGAAGCAGAAGCCTCTGGTATCTCATTTAGTGAATTAAATCCCTCACAAGGCTTCTTTGTGCTTTGGAGAGTGTGTGGTCTGGAGAACTGAGGGTAGAGGGCAGGGGCAGAGGGAGATGGAAAGTTAGGGCTTGGGGCTGCGGTGGGTGGGTTCTCACTTGGACAATGACTCACTTCGTCTTCCCAAGGCAAGTCTCCTAATTACCTAACTAATGGGGAATAATAACCCCACTTGGATGGGAGTTGAGAGAAGGGAAGGAAAGGTAAGAGAATTCATTAACCATGTGTGAGGGGCTTGGACAGCATCTCTGAAGGATCATCATTACATCATTTCAGCCTCCTCTTCCACCACTTTCTGCTAATATGAGTTAGAAAAATGCTAAATAACTATATGATAACACATTACTGGACAGACAACAATGCCAGAAAATATAATAGCCTTCTACAGCTAGGAAACTCCCCAAAGATATATTAAAAATGTCACTGATGCATAATGTAAACTATGAATTACAGTTTCATTTGGAGGACAAAATTTAAAATCTATACAGCTGTACAGTGGTATTTCCCACTGGGTTTTAGTTTTAGTTGTCTATTTCTGAGTTAAAAAAAAAAAAAATCCTGCAAGTAATTTTAGCACAAAGATGCAAACTTCAAGGAACCAGTTTCCTCCATATTTTTCCTTCTTGTTTTTGTTGGTCATGATGTCCAAACCTAGTATCTTCTTGACATGTTGTCTTTCCCTTAGAATGTTTCTGCAGGCTTCCTGGGAACCCTAGAATGTAGATTACACCTTTTGGAGATGTAGCCTGGCCACATAAGGAGAGAAGTAGTTGAAATTTGTGTCAAATTGCTTGTTTAAATGACTTCAGCCAACTTCTTAAAGCCAGGACAGCAGGGGCTGAGGATTTTAAAAGTTGGCAGGGGCCAAAATGACAAACCTCAGCAGTCACCTGGTGAGCTGCCAACTCTGACTAGAGGCTTCAAAAAATAAACTTTCTCAAAGGACACAAATGGAGAGTCATGTTTCAGCATCCATTAAAACAAAATCATAGGCTTACATCGCATAGTCAACTACTTTCATTTTCATTATGCTTAAAATACTTCATTTTGTAGATTGAGAATCAGTAGCTAAGAAAACCTTGTGTGGAGTTGTCACATATAGTGATATTTACAAAGGGATATTTACAAAGGGAGAGTTCTTCCTCATTCATTTTTCCTGAAAGGATAGAGGATTGTGTTATTAAAAAATACAATGTGATTTGGGCTAAGGGTCAATGTTTGAAAATATCTGCCTTGACCTTCTCCGGAGACGGAGCCCTCAGTGTTCATCTCTCACAGGAGAGATGTTATCGGCCTGATGATCTGAGCAGACTCACAGGTGTCTGTTGTTGACTCTCATTTTAACAAAAAAATTGTGTGTATATTTATATATATATATACACACACATATTTTATTTTGAGTTTTCACCATTTTTTAAAAACCAGGAACTTTTATCTAAAAGTGCAGATCTTCAGCTTTTCTAGAAAAGCTGGCAGATGTAGCTGCCTTGAGCCCTCCCTCATTCCCACACGGCAGCGCTAGCCTGGAGCTGAGTGAGGGCTGCTCCCCCATCCTCTACCGTTCAACTCAGTCCACAACCGTCTTACTTCACTTTCCTGCCCGGCACCTACGGGAATTTATATTTGCTACTCCCTGACTTAGAGAGCACCATATTCTTGCTTATTACCTGTAGAAAGATTAAATATTTTTTAAAGAACATGTGCTGTATACTTGTTCACCAGGAAATGGAGTGGGGACTTGTTACAACAGTGATCAGCCTTGAACGTCACGTTACTTTCATTGCTCTATTAACATGTGTCAAACAGTTCCACTGGTCAGCCCTCATCAACCTGGTTTTGCTAACCTAGTTTCTTACTGTACGTCATTTGATGCATATAAATAAATGCAAATTAAAGCATATTATTTACTGGTAACTAACTCTGGGATGCTTTCTGCTGTCTAAGCTGTCTCTCTAGTATGTGGCTTTCAGCAATTGTCACTGTAGAGACTTTCATGGCAAACTCTCCTCCAAAGGTTTGCAGAATGCTTGAGACTGGAATCTGCAGACACTGATGGCTGTTTCTCCTTTCTCTCCTTTCAGGCCCTCCAAACCACCACAGCCAGTCGACACTGAGGCCCCCTCTGCCACCCCCTCACAACCACACACTGTCCCACCACCACTCATCTGCCAACTCGCTCAACAGGAACTCGCTGACCAATCGGCGGAGTCAGATCCACGCCCCGGCTCCTGCCCCCAATGACCTGGCCACCACGCCAGAGTCCGTTCAGCTTCAGGACAGCTGGGTGCTAAACAGCAACGTGCCACTGGAGACCCGGTAAGTTGCTATCCCCAATTCCTACACAGTCACACTCTGCCCACCACTCTACCCTTGAGTCACCCACACAGAGACACGGGATGTCTCAGAGTTGTAGTGGGAGAGACATTCTTGACGTAAATACTGAGACAAGTGGGTTGATAGGTATTTCTTTGTTCAAATGTGTCCCCTTTTAATGCTTGTTTACTCTCTTAGACAGCTCTTGTGTACCTAACTAATAGAATTAGCATAACATATTTTCACTCAAAGGCTCATGGGAAACATGCTTATAAGGGTATATTGACTGAAAGCTGCTAATAAATTATGCATTTGGTCTTTCTTGAAGTAATAAATGAAGACTCCTTTGAAATTAAGTGTTTGGGGAGACGTTGAGAAACAATCCCTGATTCCAGACTGACAGAAGTATAATTTTAATTTATATTTCATCCAACATGCAGTCTCACCTTAATCCCTCCTGTACATACTAACAGCTTGATGCCTGTGGGGCAAGCAATAATGTATAAAAACAAACAACAGAAAAGGGGTAGTGCTTATGTTGGGAGGAAGAGTTTGAAAATGATCTGCAGGACTGGCTTTGTTCTGTTTTGCCTTTGCTTCTGTCCTTTTTTTTTTTTGCCTTTTCTTCTGATCTTCTAAAACCATGTGTGCCTTAATGACCTGTAGAAAGACCCATTGGTCATAGCGTGGCAGGTTGGGATGTAATTGACAATAAAGGCTGGGAGAGGGTTGGCCAGATATTGAAACAGCCTTGTTGCTCCATCCCCAGACACTTTCACGGTTTGTATGCTTCAATTGCTATGGTTTCCTTGTCCTGTGGAACCATGGAGACTAAACAGAGAGAGGGGATAATTCATATTGACCCATCAGAAAAGTTCTCAAATTGTTTGTAACCTTTAATAACTTAGGTTTGAGGAGAGATAGAAATAATCTGTAATCTTTTTGGTAATGGCTACTGAATTTTCTGCACACAGCTGGAAGCAATTTTGAAAGCCATAGCATTTGGAGTTATCTGTAATATTTTTTTGTTTTTTTTTTAATAAGATCTCGAGCATTAATATATTGTACACCCTTGTCACTGTAATCCCTCTAAATTTTAATTAATATATTTCTGACAATTACAGGGTATTTTTAACCATGCCTACAACTTACTTTCTAGAGTTTAAAATCTGTAAAGTCAATAAAACTATATGTATACACAAAGGTATTTCAAAAAGTTCGTGGAAAAAATTGTATTATCTTTTAATTCTATTTTTCCATAAGCTTTTTGACATACTTATATTTTATAAAGTAGATCTATTTAAACATCTGCACTGACATAGTAATCCACTAATAAACAGCTTTTCTAGATGCTGCCTGGTCAGCTTCTGACTCAAGATAATGTCATAGTTGCTGGTGGTCTTAAAGTCTGGATAAGATTTTCTGTTTTTTTCCTCCCCATATTTATGAACTGCCATAGAGTTTTTTGGGGCACTAGTCAGCCTATTTTAACATTAACAGACTATTATTTGTGAACTAGTTTCTGGCTAGAAAGGCTACCTAGAATGAGCCAGATCAAAAAGAAGGAGGAGGAAAGAAGAGGACCGTCATGCCCATTAACAGTCAGTTTAACTGTGCTCTTTGTATGTGCCAGATATTAACTGTCCATGTGTTATCTCATTCGAGCCTGAAAGCAATTCGGTCAGGTAGGAAGGGACTGTTACTATTGCCATTTTAAAGATGCAGAATCTAGGTGTAGAGGGACAAAGTAAACTGCAAGCAGTTTGGGGTTTCAGGTAGAGAGTAAGCCATGAGCTGCATTGGGTGGAACACTGGCGGTTCTTACACACAAAATAATGTGATTAAATGTCTGTTAAGTGACCAACCACAAACCTACGTTTATTGCCCTAATTGTTACATTTACAGGGCTAGATCCATCAGACTGTTTTTTGCAAGGAGTCTCCCCTCGGTGATAAGAACACATACAACACATAAAACATATCTCTCAGTTCCCGATTTCATTAATTGGTTTTCCAGGAGATTTATTTTGAACACCATTTGTAAAAATGCATCCTGTTGACAAACACCTAGTAGAGAGGACCAGCAAAACAAGGCAGATCACTTTCCTGCTTTTCTGAAGTAAACTCTCTCAGAATTTACTTTCTGATCTGTAGAATCCTTCTGCAGATCATTTGAATATCTGGCATTTTCCCAAAGATTAGGACTTCTCAATGATGCTTTTGGAAGAGGAAAGGTCAACGTGATATTTGGTGAATAGACAGGATTGCCAAAACCTTGAAGTTTATCAGAAGGAAAAAACAAGTGAGAATAATACCTGGATATTTTTGATCAGTACATTCAAGAACCAAGAATTAGAGAATGTAAGTCTCCTGGGATGGAGCTATTACCAGAAATCAAGCAAATGTACACAAGTCAGCAAATATTTAATGTGCAACTAATCTCACATATAAAAACTTTAGCAGTAGTCCATAGAATTGTTGAAATTTATTATTCTCTTTTAAATATTTTTAATTCAGCCTCTTACTGGTGAGTGTTAACTGAGGCCCTTGTGCATGCCAAGCGCTATATTAAATACTGGGGAGATAACGATGAAAACATCTATCTTCCCTTTGAAGCTCATACAGTATAAAGGGGATTGTAGGCACATAAACAAAAAGATAATGCAGTAAATACAGCAATGGAAGTGTGAAAGTCACAGTGATTGTACACTGGAAGAAGTGATTAGCTCTCCCAAAAAGGTCAAGGAAAGTTTCACAGCTGAAGGGCTGCTTGAGCTGGGTTTTGAGGAATGAGCAGGAGTTCACCTAGCAGATAAGCAGAGAAAAGTCAAAGATAAGCACGTTGTTTGCTTCCATTCCCCACTGGTTTTTCATATAGTTGTGGCAACTGAGAACTGAACAAATTCACTCATTCAAATGCTAAAAAATATTATAAGCTTTGGGCCAGCCCCATGGCTCACTCAGGAGAGTGCGGTGCTAGTAGCCCCGAGGCCGCGGGTTTGGATCCTATACAGGGATGGCTGGTGCACTCACTGGCTGAGCGTGGTGTGGAAGACACTGAGCCAAGGGTTGTGATCCCCTTACCGATCAAAAAATATATATATATTATGAGCTTAAGAGTGTCATTTTGTCACCCACAAGAGAGATCGTAGATATAGGGTTCTTCTTTTTAGGGGCATGATGCCATACTATGATTCCCATTCCAGTCTTTCATATCAGATAAGAATTGGTTAATCACATCCAGGAAAAGAGCCATTAAAGGCAAGACATTCTGAAGGTTGACCATGATGTAGCCACCAATTTTGAAAATGCAGTGGAAATTTACAAACAGCTTCATCATCCCTTAATGGTGGTAGCTTCACCATCACATTAATGCAGACTTCTGGGTGTGATGGAAGAAGTTTGTAATTCTGGGAGGTAATGAGCAGACGTTCTGCCACCCCCAGAAACTCTAAGCCAAGTCTAATGTATTTCTTTAGACTAGTGGGGAATGGGCCCTTGCCTCTATGCATTGCTCTTTTGATGTCCCCATCAGTCTTAATGAGGCATTTTAGATCTTCTCTGACCTATGCTTTTTCCATTTTTTTTCTATGACAAGTAGAATTGGCGGTGCTGGGCTGGCCCGGTGGCGCACTGCTACAGTGCGGCGCTTGGGAGCGCGGCGCTCCCGCCGAGGGTTCGGATCCCACATACAGACCGGCCGCTCACTGGCTGAGCGAGGTGCGGGCGCGGCACCGAGGGTTGCGATCCCGTTGCCGGTCCCGGTCCGGTGCGGGCACGACACTGAGGGTTGCGATCCGTTGCCGGACACGAAAAAAGACAAAAAGGAAAAAAACAAAAAAAGAATTGGCGGTGCTGATTAAAGAGTCTTAGCCAGAAAATAGGACTGTACAAATTTGGAATTTAACTTAAGATAAAAAAAGAAAAAAAAAAACACATAAGGGAAGTTCTGTATCAAAATTAATCCTGTAATAGAAAAATGCATATACATTTCTCTACCAAGAGCAGTCAGTTCATGTATAAACCATAACGTAATCCAAAACAAACAAACGTAAGGCAAAGGAACTAATTGCAAGCAGTCTGCACTGTCTTTTCTAAAGTAGCCTGTAACAAAATCACTCTGCCCACCCTCTTCCTCCAAGCCTATTCACTAAAGGTCTTAGAACAAAGTCCACTTGCAAATTTTGGTGTATATCACCTATCTACTCCTTCCTCTGCTGAGAGCGACAAGGTCAGAAATCTTCCTGGTTGGCTGCTTCTCTGGGAGTTTGTGAAGTCAGCTTCTCTTGCCTAAAATGGTAGAAAGTAGCTCAGTGATAGAACCTAACTTTCCAGCCTTTGTTTTTTCTGAAGCAGACTTGTCTCTCTGAATCTATCTGGGCAGCAGGTCACCAAAGAGAATTCCTGAGCAGGACAAAACTTCCCTCTGAGTTTACTTTTGCCCTGAAATACTGGAAGCCCTAATTTTAATCACCAAGATCTTCAAGCTGAAAACAAGTTCGCAAGGTGCTTTAAAAATGATCATCCATTATTTGTTCTGGAAATAATCCATGAGAACCTGCCACGTGCCAGGCACTGATGACTCAGAAAAGAAGAAAAACAAAATTCTTGCCCTTACAGAGATTCTAGGCTGGATGTAGACAGACATGAACAAAAGATTATACAAATGCCCTACGATGACAAGTGTAGAAAATGTCAGGAGAGGCATAAAGAAGCCAGACCCATGAGAAATTGACTTTTAAGCTGATCCCTAAGGATGAGCAGGTGTTAATCAGGCTTAAAGAGTGTTCTAGGTGACAAAAACAATGACCCACTGTGGGGAGAAACACTAAAGTGCCTAGAAAGTTAGGCAAAGGTGGGATGGTACAAAGATTTGGGCTGTATTAAAGATTTTGGACTCTACCCCAAGAACAATTAAAAGTCACTGAAGCCTTTGAAGCACAAGAGTAAAATAAGATATGGTTTTGTTTTGTTTTGTTTTTGATGAAACTGTAGCCACCGTAT